TACACACCACATACACACATATATATATACATATATATGTATATATGTATATATATATATATTATGTATATATATATATATATATATATATATATATATATATGCATATATATACATAGATATATATACACACACACACACACACACACACATATATACATGTATATATATATATATATTATATATATGTATATATATATATGCATATGTAATGTATATACATATATATATATATATATATATTATATATATATGTGTGTGTGTGTGTGTGTGTTGTGTGTGTGTGTGTGTGTGTGTGTGTGTGTGTGTGTGTGTGTGTGTGTGTGTGTGAATATACCTATATATACGTATATATATGTATATATATATATATATATTTATTATATATATATATATATATATATATATTCATGTATATGTTTAAATAATTTACTTATCATTTTAGCTTGCTTACACACACAAAGTAACAAGAAAATGGAAATCATTCTTATTTCGCAACACACCTACAGTGCCGTCTCTTGTGGGAAACGAGACAGAAAAGAGAGATACGGACTCGGCGAACATCTTCAGGTTTCTCACGCATCAGAATACCCTTTGATAATGAGTAATTTCGTTTTCTATTTAGTTTTAGTTTTAGTTTTTATGGCTATCCATTGTATCGTTTTGTCGTACGTGTAGCATAACAGTTTGATTTCTCGGTAGTCTGGGACAATACACGAAAAAAAGAACAGTTCTTTTAAGTCAAGATTTCATTCGTTTTCTCTGACGCCAGAACCAGACACCAATCAGGGACCGAGGTGCGTTATTTAGAGATTACAGGCACCTAACCATCGTCGGATACTAAGGAAAACGAGGCTCTGTGGTCCACGATTGTCCTCGAAATCTGGTAGATATTATTAAACTGTTACGACGTCACTAAAACATATTTATAAGCTATTCTAAACGCACTTAACGCGGGAGTGTGTAACGCGTAATGTAAACAAAGGGGGAGTAGATAGCCTGGGGGAGCCTCTGGAACCTGGGCTTTATTAACACAGCAGGAAAGAACGTCCTTTAGGACATCTCTGGACAGGATTTCAGGCAAGAATGAATACCTTTGTGTCTGACGAATATCACAAAAAAAATCATATTTAACAGAACCATACAGTTAATAAAGATATAACAAGCATTAACTAACGAGTACTAATAATCAGATAATAATCATGACACAAAGATATAGCAAAGGAACAACATAAAAAAAACAAGCGAACAGTCCCACAGGTATACGATGTTTAATCAGTTCAAAGAATTGCGAACAAACAGCCTGTCCAGCTTCCTAGCCTCAGAGAATTCGAAAGACGTCCATGAACACCATTCTTGACAGCATCTGAATGAGAGACCATTTTATACGATGCGAGCAAATGGTTTATAAAAAGCAGTGCACAATCATCCTCTAGTGAAGATGAACGTAGGAGGTTGATGGTGACTGAATGCAGTATGATAAACAGTGTCCATTTCTAAATAATCATTATCACCAAACTGTCAATCTGTCATCAACCGTCACCATCAATCTTCGCCTTAACAGAGAAGGAATAAAAACAAATAAATAAATAAAACAGTGTAAGATATGACATGCACTCAAACCCCACTACATCCAAAAGCATGAAAGGCATCCAAGCTGATAGGAAACAAACCGCTGAACACTACATTTCGACGGATCCGATCAACGAAATATCTAATGCGATTGTGCATCCATAACTAGCCCATCTTCAGTCACCGGCTGGTCTGAACCATCAGTGGGAAAACAGTGGGTAACAGAGCCTAATGGAGCGAGCAAGTGTAAGTTACACCTAACATGTCCTTGGCGAATGACTAATCAGCCAACTCTTGAAGTCTCTTTAAGACTTGTCCTACCAACGAACAGAGAGTTCTTGGAGGTGAACAGAATCCTCTCTTGTGTGACTAAGTATGGATGGATGTTAGTGTTCAGCAGTCAGCTGGATGCGGAGGAAAAATCTACTTCGATTTTATGCATTAAACTAAAAGTGGGGCGTATTGAGAGGGTGGGGCCGAAGGGTTCTTTCTGTTGGCAGTGGCGTGGCTAAACTTTTGGGTGTCTGGGAGCTAGATTTCCTTGAGGGGCCCCTAGATTTTTTTATGCATGTATATACAGTATAGTTGACATGAGGAGGTCGGAGTGACGATGGAAAATACCCCTCTCATCACTCGTTTTCCCTTTTCAGCACAATTTTGGTTCTTTTATGCACTCTTCTACTGTACTTCATTTGTTTGAACCTGTAATAAAGCAGTCCAATGTTTTTGCTTTGAATCAATCACAAGAAAATCTTAACATCCTCGTAAAAATTCTAAGGACGACCACGCCTACAAATATCTTGAACCAATATTACACTTCCATCCGAATCCTCTTGCACTTACTGTTAACACCAACACTGTTTTCTCAATTTCCTTGTACAATAAGTGTCTCTATTACCTTGTACTTCCACCGTTACGACTTTGATAACATGTAGCCCCTCTAAAACCCCTAGTATCTCTTGTTATCGCGAAGGACACTACAACATCATAAAGCAAGGAAACGTTACACTAAACTGGGTTCTTGAAATGTAGTTAATATCATGATACATCACTTGTTCTACTTCACGTTGTCTTTCTGAGAAAAAAAAAAAAAAAAAAAAAAAAAGCTTAACAGGGGAATGTGTAACGACCAGTAAATTATGGTACTTGGTAGTAATATCGAATTAATAAGAGTTATTATGACTGAGATACTGGTTGTTGAACAAGCGAAGTGCAAGAGGTAATGCGTTTATGTTCAAGGTTATAGAACAAAAGATTGTATCAGCGTCCTTGTGTAAGAGGCCTGTTCATCCTGACTCTGATCATATAAGAACTGTGACTAATTTGACATTCTTCTTCTTCTGATGGAAACCTTGATAAGAAGGTTGCATCAATGACATTAGTTACTGAATGTGTTACGTCTATGTCATTATTATTATTATTTATTATCACTATTATTGTTGTTGTTGTTATCATTATTGTTATCATTTGCAGTAGTAGCAAAAGTCGTAATAAATAGTAGATGTAGTTGTATTAGTAGTAGTATCAACAGTAGTAGTAGTAATAGTAGTAGTAATTGTAGTAATACCATCGTGCAGTATGATTATAAAAATAACCGATATAGAGTAATAATGATAATTGTTAATGCTAATGCAAATGATAATGATAATAATGATATAATAACAATAACAACCCCAACAAAATCCACAACATCTTTAACCGAAACAACCCAATCCCCACCGCAGCCTTTCCCCCCCCCCTCACCCGCCCTCCACCCCCACCCTCCCTTTTTCGCCCCAAGGAATTCCCAACTCAAACTTGATCCCATTACAACACCAAGACAACTCCAGAAAAAGGTCGTTCATACCAGCCGCCAGCAGAAAGGCCACGCTCCACAAGATCATGGTGATGAGAGTGAAGAATCGTTTTATGTGTCTCAGTGAATGACTGCTTATGAAGACCGCACCATCTGCGTCCTATGCATAAATAGTGGTTCTCCGCGCCAGATGACACGACTCTCACACACTGGCGATGTTTCGTTGGGTTATCTATCTGGGAATCAGCTGGTCCCCCTCTCCCCCCCCCCCTCCCCCCCCCTTCAACCACTTCGGGTTTTTCTTTTCTTTTTTTTGGGGGGGGGGAAGGGGAGGGGAGAAGCTGTTTCCTTTCCCATTTTCTTTCATATTTTTCTGTTTACGTCTTGCTTCACTGGGTTTCTTTTCCTTCGATTTATCTCGTGTTTTTCTTCTCCTTCTTCTTTTCCTACTTTTATCTCTCCTTCGCTTTTGCTTTTTTTCCCCTCCGAGTCTGCTCTTTGAAGCCTCTATCTAAATCACTTTTGGTCTGTTTAGTCTCGGTGTCTCGTGAAATCTGTCCGGTACGATCTGGCAAATGAAGAAAACGGATTGATTTAGAGGCAAACTATTTTCCTTTTTAATGGGTGATCATTTCCCATTATCCCTGCTATATAAAACACGTCGCCACGCATTATCATCGTCATTGTCTCCACTACTGCTGTCGTGACTAGAGCTCACCACTTTATTGTTTATGATTTTCTTAATATAAATCCCCCATTATTATTTACAACAACATCGTGGTCAAAGATCAGTCTCACTCAGTCAATCAAGATCATCACCACCCCTCCCTCCCCCTTCCCCAGCCCCCCAACCCCCCCATCCAACCCCCCAAACCCCCAATCCCCAGCCCAAATCCCAGTCATCCTGCCTATCCCCCCACCTCACCCCCACCCCCTCATCTTCATCTCCACCTCCCTCCCCCTTCCCCAATGATCTCCCACACTCTCCCCTCTTCTCCCTCTCGCTCACCCCCTCCTCTTCCTAACCTCTCTCCACCCCTTTCCTTCCTCCTCTCTCCCTCCCCTTCCTTCCTCCTCTCTCCCCTCCCCTTTCTCCCTCCTCCTCTCCCTCCCCTTTCTTTCTCCTCTCTCCCTCCCCTTCCTTCCTCCTCTCTCCCTCCCCTTCCTTCCTCCTCTCTCCCTCCCCTTCCTTCCTCCTCCCTTCCTCCCTTCCTTCCTCCTCTCTCCTCCCCTTCCTTCCTCCCTCTCTCCATCCCCTTTCTTCCTCCTCTCCCTCCCCTTCCTTCCCTCTCCCTCCCTCCCCTTCCTTCCTCCTCTCTCCATCCCCTTCCTTCCTCCTCTCTCCTCCCCTTCCTTCCTCCTCTCTCCTCCCCTTTCCCCTTCCTCCTCTCTCCCTCCCCTTTCTTCCTCCTCTCTCCCTCCCCTTTCTTCCTCCTCTCTCCCTCCCTTCCTTCTCCTCTCTCCCTCCCCTTTCTTCCTCCTCTCTCCCTCCCCTTCCTTTCCTCCTCTCTCCCTCCCCTTCCTTTCCTCCTCTCTCCTCCCCCTTCCTCCTCCTCTCTCCCCCCCTTCCTTCCTCCTCTCTCCCTCCCTTTCTTCTCCTCCTCCCTCCCCTTCCTTCCTCCTCTCTCCCTCCCCTTTCTTTCTCCCTCTCTCCTTCCCCTTCCTTCCTCCTCTCTCCTCCCCTTTCATCCTCCTCTCTCCCTCCCCTTTCTTCCTCCTCTCCCCCCCCCTTTTCTTCCTCCTCTCTCCCCTCCCTTTCTTCTCCTCCCTCCCTCCCCCTTCCTCCTCTCTCCCTGCTCCCTCCCCTTCCTTCCTCCTCTCTCCCTCCCCTTCCTTCCTCTCTCTCCTCCCCTTTCTCCTCCTCTCTCCTCCCCCTTCCTTCCTCCTCTCTCTCCCTCCCCTCTTCCTCCTCTCTCCCTCCTTCCTTCCTCTCTCTCCCTCCCCTTCCCTTTCCTCCTCTCTCCCTCCCCTTCCTTCCTCCTCTCCTCCCTCCTCCTCTCCCTCCCTTCCTTCCTCCTCTCTCCTCTCCTCTATCTCCTCTCTCCCCTCCTTTCCTCCTCTCTCCCTGCCTCTCCTCCTTCTCCTCCCCTTCCTCATCCTCTCCCCTTCCTCCCTCCCTCCCCTTCCTATCTCCTCCCCCCTCACCCTCCCTTCCACGCTTAGCCCTCCCCCCCGCACCCCCTTTCCCTCCCCTTACGCGCATGCCCCTCCTCCACCCCCCCTCCCACCCCCCTCAGCCACGCTTGACCGCCAGTCTCTTCGCTTACTTACTGACTCATGACACTATTAACAGCAGGAGAAGAAAAAAACTGATTAGATATACGGTGAAGTTATTAAGCTAAGCCTTATACTGGCTAAAATAAGATGCTCTTATGATCGCATTGGCTATCTTTGGGTTTGTGTGCATTACGAGCTTATTTTGTTTTGCTTTTCCGTGACGTCAGTTGCTCGATTTTTAGATTTCGTTGTTTCATCTTTCCAATGAGATTTTGTTCTTGCAGTTTCAAAAAAAAAAGAAAAAAAATGCAGTTTCTTTTTAAATAATTAACAAATGTGATTGTCATCCTCGAACCTAAAAAAATAAGTAAATAAATAAAATAAAGATTTAAAATATGTGATTGTCATCTTCGAACCAAAAGCGATAAAAAGAAACATATGTTATTCATCAATTTTATTCGATCCTGTGAAAGCTGTTTATCTATTAATCTAGTGATAAAAGGAATTCGCGAAAAAGGAAACAAAAAAAGTGCAAAAGAAACATCAGGAAGTTTTAACAGAATGTCTTTTAAACATCTGGCGTGTAACAAGTTTGAAGTTTGTGTTTTTGTTATCGTGAATAATAGCACCATTTTATTGTTATTATTCTTCATGATGTTATTTAAATTATAATTGTTCTTATCATTAACGCCTTTGATGTTGATAAATGAAAATGTTATGATATTATCATTATCATCCTTATTACTGTTGTAATATTACCACAACGTTATAATTATTTTCTAGCTTATATCTCTACCTCTTTATCAATCTTTCTCTTCTACGTTCACTCTCTATATTCATATGTTGTTCAGTCTATCTTTCTATCTGTGTGAATATCTACCCATCTTTCTATATCTCTATCTATCCATCCATCTATCTATTTATCTATCCGTATATATATATATATATATATATATATATATATATATATATATATATATATATATATATATATGGGGTGGGTGTATGTGTGCGTGTGTGTGTGTGTGGGTGCGTATATATATGCACAGTTGGGTGTGTATAGACAGAAAGATAGATGGACAGATAATACCCACACACACGCACCACACACACACACACACACACACACACACACACACACACACACACACACACACACACACACACACACACACACACACACACACACACACACACACACACACACAACACACAAACACATACATATATGTGTGTATGTGTGTGTGTGGGTATATATACATCACCCCTGGCTATACCACATTTACTGCTTAGCTGAACTATTCCAGTAGTTACCAAGGTGAACTTTTAGAGATTAGTGAACAAAGTCACAATATAAGAACAGCATGTCCAGGAATAATTCAGTATTTAATATGTTTTACGTTGAATCAGGAAAAAAAAGTGTTGTTTATGTCTACGTTGATTTCTCGCGTCACGTTTTTGGCTTGTCATGTAGATAAGAAAAATGTATAAGTTTCCCATGCGGTGAGAACCATCTGGAAAGATATATCTTACGAGGAGACAGGTTTATATATCGGACTTCTTGCCTTCCTTTATCCATTTTTCTTTCATATTTTTCTGTTCATGTCTTGCTTCTGTGGGTTTCTTTTCCTTCGATTTTTCTCTCGTGTTTTTTCTTTCTCCTTCTTCTTTTCCTACTTTTATCTCTCCTTCGCTTTTGCATTTTTTTTTTTTTTTTTAATTCTCTCCAAGTCTGCTCTTTGAAGCCTCTATCAGTGGTGTTTATTTTACGAAAGAAGCGTTGTAATTTCACGAAGCAAGGAAATACAAAGGGAGGGTGAGTTGTTGCTTCATCTCAAGCCTTACCGAAAATATATGTTAGTAGCAAGTCTGTGAAAAATTTGTGTATTAAATTGTATGTTAAATTTACGGCAATGCGTGTGCTACAGGTAGGCGTTCTCGTAACCCCCTTAGTATTTTGATGTATCTGAACGTGTTTATATAGATCGTTCTCTAACGCCGTAAATACTGAAGCGTTCTCGTAACTCCTTAGTATTTTGATGTATCCGAACGTGTTTAGATCGTTCTCTGAGACGCCGTAAATACTGAAGCGTTCTCGTAACTCCTTAGTATTTTGATGTATCTGAATGTATAAGAACGTTCTCTGAGACGCCGTAAATACTGAAGCGTTCTCGTAACTCCTTTAGTATTTTGATGTATCCGAACGTGTTAGATCGTTCTCTGAGACGCCGTAAATACTGAAGCGTTCTCGTAACTCCTTTAGTATTTTGATGTATCTGAACGTGTTAGAATCGTTTCTCTGAGACGCCGTAAATACTGAAGCGTTCTCGTAACTCCTTTAGTATTTTGATGTATCTGAACGTGTTAGATCGTTCTCTGAGACGCCGTAAATACTGAAGCGTTCTCGTAACTCCTTTAGTATTTTGATGTATCTGAACGTGTTAGATCGTTCTCTTATACTGAAGCGTTCTCGTAACTCCTTAGTATTTTGATGTATCTGAATATAAGATCGTTCTCTGAGACGCCGTAAATACTGAAGCGTTCTCGTAACTCCTTAGTATTTTGATGTATCTGAATGTATAAGAACGTTCTCTGAGACGCCGTAAATACTGAAGCGTTCTCGTAACTCCTTTAGTATTTTGATGTATCTGAATGTATATAGAACGTTCTCTGAGACGCCGTAAATACTGAAGCGTTCTCGTAACTCCTTTAGTATTTTGATGTATCCGAATAGATCGTTCTCTGAGACGCCGTAAATACTGAAGCGTTCTCGTAACTCCTTTAGTATTTTGATGTATCCGAACGCGTTAGATCGTTCTCTGAGACGCCGTAAATACTGAAGCGTTCTCGTAATCCTTAGTATTTTGATGTATCTGAACGTGTTTATATAGATCGTTCTCTCGTAAATACTGAAGCGTTCTCGTAACTCCTTAGTATTTTGATGTATCTGAACGTGTTAGATCGTTCTCTGAGACGCCGTAAATAC